TGATTTTCCCTCTCATTCTGTAACTGGGTGGACCTGGGAAAAGGGGAAGTTCCAGATTCCCAGCACACCCAGAAGGAGGGTGGAGCTGAGCAGATAAGAGGAATCTGGAGAGGAATACAAAGAAGGAGGCAGGATGGAGAGCCAGAAGGTGATCTGAGGGAAGCACATGGAGCAGAGACATGTGAAGAAACTGCTTGCTTCTGGTTCTGGACTGGTTGAAACAGATGTGGGTGAGAGACCTGTGGGGAGGTTCACTGTGGCAGTGTTTGTCTTGATTTTGCTCTTTTCCTCCTGTAACAGATACAGGTTTCATGAACTCCACCCCCACTCCAGATACTACTACTACTACTAATCCCATCAATACCAATGAGAAGCATGCTGGGACGTGAGGGTGGAGCTGAGCAGCCAGGTTAGGATAAAACCGGACATGTGGGGCCCTCCCTGGTGGCGCAGCAGGTTAAAACATAGCACTAAGAAGCTAAAGCCACTTCCGTATGAGTCAGATCCCCGCCTGCCCCAGAGGTGACCACATGGCGTGGCAGACCTCTCCTGACCTGCCCGCTGCTCCCCTCAGCAGTGTACTTTGTCCATCTGCCTGTTCTGCTCCTCATTCTGCCTCTGGTGAATTCACTCACCGCCCCTGCATTTCTGGCCTGTACCCCAGTTCTGTATGCACAAATAAGTCTCTTTAAAAAAAAAAAAAACAAAAAACGGACATGTAGGGGTCTCTTGCCCTGGTGGTTCACGGCTGGTCATTAGGCTCTTGATGAGCCTTCAGTGTTCTATCAGAGTTCCAAGTCAGCAGAACTGGTAGGACACTCTAATTAAATTGTGTTTCTCCCTCTCTCTTTCCCCAGGTTGTTCCTTTTCTTTTCCCCTTGTAAGTAAACCCATTATTGAACCTTTTTTGTGTGTGTCCACAGTACAACTGAATCTCACAGGTAAGGACCCACAAACAGTCAACCCAGTTCACATTGGGTTACTCTGTAACACTCCCAGACTTGTCTGGCCATTTCTGACCCTTTTCTATGGGTCCTGGCCAGAAGGTGCTTTAGTCTTGACAGGCTTTCAGGTCTTGCTTTGGGCCAATCCCTTTTGGGTGGACTCTTACCCACAGGGGATGGGTAACTTTGGATGTTTGATTTAGAGACTATATTCTTTGTCTTTTCTGTATTGCACACTCATTGTATTAGTTCCTTTCCATTAAAGGTCTTTTGTCTTAATGTGGCAGATGGCAGAACCTATTTAGAGCAGGCAGGTTTGGGGGCTCAATGGTGCCCCTCTCCCTGCCCTGTAACAAGTTGATCCCTGAGAAAGGTTTCCTCTGTAACAGGGTGGTCCCTAGGAAAAGGGGAAGTTCCAGGTTCCCTGCCCCACCAGGAGGGTAGAGCTGAGTAGAGGGAAGGAAAGAAAGAGCTGAAGAAGGAAGCAGGATGGAGAACCTGAAGGAGACCTGAGGAAGCCACATGAAGCGAAGGGAGACCTGTGAAGAAACTGTCCTTGTTTCTTGGACCTGGACAGGGTGAAACAGATGTGGGTGAGAGACCCGAGGGGCGGTTGACTGTGGCCGTGTTTATATTGATTACGATTTTGCTCTTTTCCTCCCAGACTTGTCTGGCCACTTCTTACCCTTTTTTATGGGTCCCGACCAGAAGATGCTTTTGTCTTGTGATGGGCTTTCAGACCTTGCTTTGAACCAATCCTTTGTGGGTAGACTTTTACCCCCAAGGGGATGAGTAACTTCAGATGTTTGATTTAGAAATTATATTCTTTGTCTTCTGTGTTACATACTCACTGTATTAAAGTTCCTTTTCATTAAAGTCTTATATGTTTTTCTTGATGAGGCAGATGGCAGAACCTATTTAGAGTAGGGAGGTTTGGTGGTGCCTCTCTTCCTGCCCTGTCACAAACACTTCCACACACAGTCATGTGGAAATGTTGCCTATTTCACTGCTTATATCACCATCTAAAAGGTTCTCAGAATACAGCAGCAAACTCTTTTAAAATGAAATTCAAAAGAGCTAAACAAACTCTCCTCCAAAAATAAACATACAGAAGCCAATGGGCACAGGATAAAATGCCAATTATCACTCATTAACAGGAAAAACCAAGTCACAACCACAAAACCATCTCACAACTAATCAAAAAGACCAGACACAAGTGTCTCTTTGGAGGGTATGGGGCAAAAGGAGTTCTCATACACTGTGGTGGTGTAACTGGGTGGTCCCTAGGACAAGGGAAGTTCCAGGTTCCCTGCCCCACCCAGAAGGAGGGTGGAGCTGAGCAGGGAGAAAGGAGAAAAGAGGAGAAGAGAAGGAAGCCAGATGGAGAACAAGACGGAGACCTAAGGAAGCCACATGGAGCAGCAAGCATGTGATGAAGAAACCGGGCTTGTTTCCTGACCCTGGACTGGTTAAGGCAGATGTGGGTGAGATACCTGTAGGGAGGTGACTATGGCAGTGTTTATATTGATTTTGATTTTGCTCTTTTCCTCCCAGATTTGTCTGGCCATGTCTGACCCTTTTCCATGGGTCCTGGCCAGAAGGTGCTTTAGTCTTGTGGCAGGCTTTCAGGCCTTGCTTTGGGCCAATCCCTTTTGGGTTGACTTTTGCCCACGAGGGGATGGGTAACTTCAGGTGTTGGATTTAGAAGTTATATTCTTTGTGTTCCATATTGTATACTCACTGTATTAAAGTCACTTTTCATTAAAGCTTTATATGTTTTGTCTTGTTGCGGCGGATGGCAGAACCCACTTAGAGCAGGCAGGTTTTGGGGCTTCTGGGGTGTCTCTTTCCCTGTCCTCGACCAGAATTGAGATGCCCTATAACAGTGGCAATGTGTACTGGTCCAGGCCCTTAAGGAAAAAAGTAGCAAGGTTCCTCAAAATACTAAAAATATACCATATGACCCAGCAATCCCTCTACTAGAACACAAAAACACCAAGCAAGCCTGGGATCTGCTTCACATAGCTTACAAGGAAGTAGCGAAGTGGCCCCAGGAGGGAGTAACGTGATAAATCATGCATTTCTAATTTCACCACTCACACCTGCTTCTCTGACCTCCTCAGTAGGTTGAAGGAACTGAGTTTCTTTTTTTTTCTTTTTTAAAGATTTATTTTATTTGTACATACAGAACTGGGATACAGGCCAGAGGCTCAGGGGCGGTGAGAGACTTCACCAGAGACAAAGTGGGGAGCAGAACAGGCAGATCTACGAGGGGAGATCTGCTGAGGGGAGCAGCAGGCGGGTCAGGAGAGGTCTGCCACGCCATGTGGTCACCTCCGGGGCAGGCGGGAATCGAACTCATGCGGAAGTGGCTTTAGCTTCTCAGTGCAGTGCTTTAACCAGCTGCGCCACCAGGGAGGGCCGGAACTGAGTTTCTTGGTAGAGGAAAGCTCTGCGTAGATGATCTGCTCCTGTGCTCTGCCTTTGGAGGGGCGCAGCAGTATTTTGCTTTCCTTGGGTGCAGCTCTGAGGACAAGGGCATCTTTGTGGAGCACAACCTCTGGATTTACTACCCTTGAAACTACCACATGGCTTCAGCTTTCAACCAGTAGAAGTACATTTGGATTCAGGGCATGCACACAACAGGTCCATCTGCCTTCTCAGGCATCTTACAAAGAGATGCTCCTGGTTTGGGGCTGCCTTCTGCCGTGGGCACCCAATATCCTGGAACCTCAGGTTGCCTATGTATTTAGTCCTTACCCAGGAGGCTGTTGTTTTCCACAGAAAACGGCCACACCCACCTCCCTTAAGGTCACCACTAACCTTTTAAAAATGAAGGGGGATTAGAGGCTCTGATCTGTACCGATAGGGGTGGGGCATAGCTCTTTGCTCCTGCAATATAGATCTCGAGGGCAATGCAGATGGCCCCCATTTAGGATGGTTCAACCCAAGATGGCTGGATTTAGGATTGTTTAGCTTTCTGAACTTGCGGTACTGTTACAGGGCAAGGTGAGGAGAATCCCTGAATCCCCAAACCTGCCTGATCTAAATAGGTTCTGCTATCTGCCTCATCAAGACAAAACATGTAAGACTTTAATGAAAAGGAACTTTAATACAGTGAGTATACAATACAGAAGACAAAGAATATAATTTATTAATCAAACACCTGAAGTTACCCATCCCCTTGTGGGCAAAAGTCAACTCAAAAGGGATTGGCCCAAAGCAAGGCCTAAAAACCCTACCACAAGACTAAAGCACCTTCTGGCCGGGACCCATGGAAAAGGGTCAGAAATGACCAGACAAGTCTGGGAGGAAAAGAGCAAAATCAAAATCAATATAAATACTGCCATAGTCAACCTCCCCATGGGTCTCTCACCCACATCTCTTTCAGCCAGTCCAGGGCCAAGAAATAAACACGGTTTCTTCACATGTCTCCCTTGGCTCCATGTGGCTTCCTCAGGTCTCCTCCTGGCTCTCCATCCTGCTTCCCTCCTCCTCAGATTCCTTCTCTTCTCTTCTTTTCTCTGCTCAGCTCCACCGTCCTCCTGGGTGGGGCAGGGAACTGGAACTTCCCCTTTTCCTGGGGACCGCCCTGTTACAGTACCATCTTCTCTACTAATGCTGAGAGTTCCCAGGAACTAACAATACTTTCAACTTACTACAGTCTGTCAGGATGTGACCCCACCCTAAGTCGAGGAAGATCTGTATTTGCAAATGGTTGGCAAAGACTTCTGCTAGGAATCCTTAAAGGATCGGGGAAAGTAACTTCCATGTCTATCAGAAATTCTTAAGTTTTGATTAGGAGTAATACAGCAGACGCTGGAAAAAAGGAACTGATTTAAGAGACAGAGATAATACATAAGAGTTTAATCCCCAGCCAGAAAACAGTCAAGGTTTGGAATAGAAACTCTTCAGTTCCCCTCTTCAATTCCCACTGCTACCACCCTCCACCACTCAAAGCTCAAAAGTAATTGAGGAACTAAAAATCTGAACTAGTGATTCCTTAACTGATAAAATGGAAACAAACAAACAAACAATAACTAAACTCTGCAAATATCACTCGTTAACCACTTCTTTGTGTTTTTATTGAACTTTTTTGAATCACTTTTTTTCTTTTAATTTATGCCTGGTATGACACTTAAATGGGGAAACACAATTACAATTCACAAACTGTGGCAAAAATAACACACACATCAGGAATTACACCAAACCCTTCCTTTTTATTCATTCAAAAGAGTCCAATACACAGTGTCAAATATGAGCACTGAGTGTTTTGTTTTGTTTTTTTTTTCTCAAGGGGGAAAACATTTATTCTGGCATCACTTTTACAATTCCAGGAAGTGGTTTTGATACCACAAGTTGCAGGAATAGAAACCATCACAAACTTGGAGGGCATTTGTTTGCGACGCCAGGGACTCGTTGGTTGGAAAAGACTCTTCTTGTGCTTAGTGAGATGCCTGTCAGTCTGTCCTGTTAGTCTGTGCGGCTGAGTCTTTCCAGGTGTGGAAAGAGAAAGCGGAATTTCCTGCCTAGAAGGCAAAAAGTTGCTCTAAAGCAGAGTGTTTTCTGTGTTCAACCCACCCCGCACCCTAAAGCAAGTTCACAAGCTTTTCTGGAGCTTCTTTCGGTCACAGGACTCTATCACAATGACCTTTTTATTAAAACACATGTGACACCACAATTTCTTCTTACACTGCTTCTCTAGGGTTCAGATGACGAAACATCACTTGTCAAAAAATAGCAGATATTAAGAATGTGGGCATTCGTAGTCATCATAATGGCAAACATTTTGTGGGGTATGTCACCCAAAGGAGCATATGTATTTACTGTTTATCATTTAATATGGTGCCCTAGGGAGTTATCCTAAAGGCACACCGATGAGTCTTTTCAAAAGTCTGGTCCAAAATCCATTCATTTGAGAGGTGAGGAACTATTACATGCCAATTAAAAAAAACTTTTATGCCCAGCCCTTCAATGGTCCATAAAGTAATTACACGCTATCATTCAGTTCACACTTGCACACACATGCACGTGTACACACTCACACACACGAGAACTGTGACAACAGGTTCATCTGCGACTGTATTCAAGGAAAATGAAATCTCCAACTTGAGGTGTTCTATTCAAGGATTAAAAACGGCAAAAATCACCTGATCCCATTCAAGTTTTTAGGATCTTACAAATGGAGGTCCTGGAGTCAGTGAAGTTAACTCCTGGGGCACAACATATTTTACAAAAATCGACTTGTGATTCTTCACAATGCAATCACTTGCTTGCTGTTTCTCTTAAAAATATGCCGAGATTTTGTATATTGTGGCATTCTAAAAGCCAATACTTTATAAAAGAAAATAATACCAGCTGACTCACTTGTCTTACACTGGTGAGAAACAGTTTTACACATTTTCAATTGATGTGTGTGGAGGTGGCAGATGAAAAGAGACCTTTACATTCTTCAGAGAATGTGTCACTACTGCAGCTGATGCTGTTTGGCCCCAGTTAGGAATATGAGAGAGTGTTTCATTTGGTTTGATTTTTCAAGTTTAATTTCATGGAGATTCTAAAGCAAAGCTCTGACTCGTTCCAGGCAGCAGAACATCCAATCAGTGGCTCCATATTTATAAATAATCAATATGGAATTTTGCTCTCCAATTAGGCAGCTCACTATCTTAAGGTTTGACAGCCAGATGTGGAAGGCTTTGGAAATGTTCTGCTAAACTTCAAAGACTGTTCTAGGGGAGAGAGTACTTATGAGCAGAACTCTACATGCTTCAGAATGGATTCCTGATTATTGTAAGTTATGCAAGGATTCAGGCTTTCCATGGATTTCTTGACCCCCCCACTGCCCCCTCCCTTGAAGAATCCTAACACCAGGTCACCACCAGCACATAAACCAGTAACAAACTTAGTCAACATGAGGGCTGCAGTGAGGAACACTGTCCCTGGCACTAGCAACATTGGGAAAAGACAGGGGATGATCCCCACCCCCCTGCCCAGGAGTTTGCAGGCAGGGACCTTCATTTAGAAGGCGAGTGGGACACTGAAGATGTCTGAAGATTCTGCTCATCACTGGTTACTTCTGTGAACCAACACTTAATCCACTTAATCCCTGGGTGGCTAGAGAGATTTTCTTTTTTTTTTAATTAAAGACTAAAGAACAAAGAAATAAGACCAAGAGGTCTTACACTCAAATAAGAAACCAGCTCCATCTTGGCACAGTTCTCATGCAGAATATTGCACCCAGTGTTAACTAATGCTAGAAGCGTCAAACTGTATAAATTTAAATGTATTTGCATATTATAAAAATAAAGATAACCATATACATATTTTACATGAGTTACGGAACAGCTATGAATGGTCAGTCACTCCCTCTTTCACATTTAACAGAACTGAAAGCCGAGTGCTCTAAATACTGCCACCTGGACTGGACTATGGCTTATATGTGCACAGAAAACAAAATCCCTGAGAAGCCATTCGACTTTTTTTTCTTTTCTTCAAGTAGCGCTCTCCTTGGAGGATCACAGTTCTGAGGTTCAGGTTGTAAAACATTTGCTCCATATTTTCTACCCTCCTTCCCCCATCCCTCCCACTTCATCCACAGGCCAGGTCTGCACCCTCCTGAAAGCATCCTGACCACGGTTTTACTCAGGTTCACCAAGCACCCTGGGGCATGAGGAGGTGTGCCAGGTTTGAAAGGTGATCCAGGTGAGTTCTGATGCTCCTTTCTCATGGAAATTCCACAGCCATAAAAGTCACTGGTTTCTGTGCTTTTCACCAACGTTCTTCCTATACAGGTAAATGAGAAAAAAAAGCAAAGATGACAAAAGGCAAGAGAAGGATATTCTTAGGAGAAGAGGAAGAAGAGGGCCCTCCCTGGTGGCGCAATGGGTTAGGACGCAGCACTGCAAGCAAGTCGCAGCCACTTCAGTGTGAGTTGGATCCCCGGCCCCAGAGGTGACCACATGGCGGGGCAGACCTCTCCTGACCTGCCCGCTGCTCCCCTCAGCAGTGTACTTCTTGATCTGCCTGTTCTGCTCCCCACTCTGTCTCTGGTGAAGCCTTTCACTGCCCCTGTGCTTCTGGCCTGTACCCCAAGTCTGTATGCATAAATAAATGGATCTTTAAAAAAAATAAAAAAAGAGGAAGAAAAATAAAGTTTTTTTTGCATAAGTTTTCCTTTCTACTCCTAGGATTCCTTATAAAAAATGCAAATATCCATTACAGAATTTGACTAGAAATCTAGTCAGACATTTCTATGATGCTAAATTCAGAGGCAACCACACTAACTTTAACCACTCCATTGTAATATCAAGTTTAACAAGATTTCTCATTACAAACCCCAAACTCCAAACACAGAACTGTTTTGCTTCCTTTCAAGAAATACAGGCATTACTAAATAGTCCTGTGGAGTACAAATATATACAAAAATGTGAGAATAATGTCCACTGAGGCTAAAAATCATGATTTTACTTAAAGTACTGTAAGCAAGGCTGTCATACTAAAGTCTTTGAAGCTGGATGAATGTAAAATGAAGAGACTGCTGTGTCTTCAACTAATTAAACAAAGTGGCATTTAATTCAGAGAAAAGGGTAGAGAAAAACATGTCAAATGCCCCCATTCCCTATTTCAGCTATCATGACATGTGATAGTGTTTCAGGATTATCTATTAAAGATTATCTATTAAAGGGAGCTGCTTCTCCACCCTCCATCCCAAATCAGTGTTGCTTGATCTTAGGGAAACTGATAACTTTATAATCCACCGAAGATATTTCTCACAGACCCGAATGGGGTTATCATGATGTCACAGGTACCACCCGCGGGAGACATGCAGCTCTCCTTGCTCAATCACTTGATTGATCCTTAACTCACAGCAGTGAATGGAGTAAGCTCTGTCTTGCTCCACATTTTCTGAAGGAGGAAACTAAGTTTTCAAAGGGTTAAATAACTTCCCTGAGGCTACCCACCAGTGAGCCCTAGAGTCAGCCCTGAACTAGGGTTACTAGATTCCAAAGCACATTAAATAAACTGCTAAAATCAAGGTTGGAATATTTGGGGCTTGAAGGACAGCTTCATGTCCTATGGCACTCAGCCATGAGGACTTCAGGAAGGTCTATTACCACAGTAAAGTTTCCCGTAGAGAAAGCTTTGAAATTGCCTCTAGTTCAAGTAATAATAAAGCTAACGGCAGTGAGGATGGCAGTGTGAAATGGCTGTCTCAACCTAGCAGGTAACCTGGGCAGGGAAAGTGAGGCTTCAGGTGGTGTGCCAGGCCGGTGCTTCTCACTGGCTGTCTCAAGCCTTCAGTCAGATGTACAGACAGTTGTGCTGGGCTTTCAGCTCCCTTGAGCCACATGCAAGACTGAGAACCAAAAGAATACCCACTCAAGGGCACTGAAGGGCACTGAAGGGCTACACTGCTGAAGGGAGGGAAAGGAAAACCCAGCTAAGTACTTCCCACATTGATCTGGCCTGTACCCCAGTTCTGTATGCATAAATAAATCTTAAAAAACAAAGACTAGAAACTAAGAGGAGACTCAATCACAGAAGTCTTGTCATAGGTGGGTCTAGTAGAAAGCACAGTCTGAAGGCAGTTAACTCATGTCAAGACACTGGAAAGGGGATGGATGTAGTGGAAGGATTTCATAGGGGGCACAGAAGGCGGCTTCACATGGAGAGACTCCTGGGGTGGCAGATGGGTGTGAAGCCACATCATCACCTGAGGCAGGAAACAAGACTGAGGAAGATCAGGCAGGAGAAGGGGTGGAAGAAACTCAGTAATTCACATGGGCCACCCAAGGGAGCTGATGGGTAACAGAGACCTGGAGATGAAGGGAGAGCCACAGATCCAGATCACCATAGGTTATGAAACCTGTTCTTCATAAGATGTTGCAAGATAATTCAAGGTGTTTAGAAGCTTAGGTGAGAACGAAGCTGCACCATGTGGTAGTAACCAGATTTCAGATTTTCTAGCTTCTGATGCTTTGATTTCAGGATTTTGCTGAAAGAACTGAGGGAACTACACCCTCTGAGTACTAGCCAGTCAGTAAGTACCTGAAACATGAGTGTGCTTCTCAAGTGCAGCCCAGCTAACCCGGAGCCCACACCCACCGTGGGCCTGTACTGTCCTCTTCCACTCAGACCACTGGCCACCTGCCCCAGTCACCCCCAGATTCTGGCAGCAGTCACCTCTAAGCCTGCTGACATTCTTCAAACTGGTCAATCTCAATCTGCTCAGCCTGCCTGGCTTGTACCTCCCCACAGAAATTACGGTCAAGGCCCTCCTGCCTCCTGGTGCTTCCTATGTGCCCTTCACTACCCTGCCTCCCTGCACCCAGCATGCCTGCCTTCTCCTCATAACCCCTTTCCAGCAGCAGTGGCTTCCTGACCTCTCCTCAAATGTCCCAATCATGCACCACAGTCCAAAACAGATGTGCAAGTGAGAGTTCTGTGAAATAGCACCCCAACTTGTGGATGCCAGGCCCCGCTGGGCCATTTAGTCAAGATGTCACTGTGGGAACATGACTAGACCTGGGACAGAGCACTCCCTCCCCTAGGGGAGGGGTTTTGCTCTGAGGAGTTGATTCAGAACAGAAAACATCCGTGACAACAATATGAAAGACCACTCGTGTCTTTCTCCTGTGAAGAGGGGCAGGGCAGTGAGTACTGCAGGTGGCCCTGACAAACAGATTTTCGTGTGGCTGCCTTGACCCCTTCTTAAGGTGGACGGGAAGGTATGTGGACGTTTCCCTCATCTATCCTGCACACACCTTCACTTGGGCCTCAATTTATAAGCTACACGTTATATATAAGTCAGGGGGTGGATTTTCCACAAATATCTGCATTTGCATTTTGAAATGTGGTTTTTCTTATTACCTTTCTACCCATCTACCCTGAGCACCACTAATATTTCCAGTGGAAATAACAATGACTGTATTGAGCGATGTTTACTCTGAGGAGCAAAGCTAAATGCTGTTCCTGCCACTGTGTCTCTAAATGCCCCATGAGATCAGTGATTCTGTTATCTGAAAATGACAGATGTCTGTAGTCCCAGCATTAGCAAAGTCTTAAGATTCCACTCAGAACATGCAACTCACAGCCCATAAAACTGCCTTGAGAAAATAAATACAAACACTACTTTTAAAATGCTATTAGCAGTGTTAACTGACTTGAAACTTTCCTGACGTTACATTTTCGGACAATATGAAAATTTTGAAACCTTTTTTCCCAATAAGAATCTAAGATTACCAGTATATGTAATATTATTGTAAATTAGGCAAACAAGGCCCTCCCTGGTGGCGCAGCGGGTTAAAGCGCAGCACTGAGAATCTGAAGCCACTTCCGCATGAGTTCGATTCCCGCCTGCCGCCTGCCCCGGAGGAGACCACATGGCGAGCCAGACCTCTCCTGGCCCGCCCGCTGCTCCCCTCAGCAGTGTACTTCGTCCATCTGCCTGTTCTGCTCCCCACTCTGTCTCTGGTGAAGCCTCTCACCGCCCCTGAGCCTCTGGCCTGTACCCCAGTTCTGTATGAATAAATAAATAAATCTTTAAAAAAAAAAAAAATTAGGCAAACAAATCAAGTAGTTTTCTTACTCTTAGTTCCCAAATGGATCTTGATTCTGGATAAAACTAGACTGTGTTATCATAAAATATCCTGTGCTACAGACTTGCTTCATCCCCAACCCCACCCACCCTTCTAAATGCTCCAAATCTTTAGGGAGGACTTAGCTACTCAAGAAACCCTCTCTGCTTCCCAGAGACTTACCCTTAAATATTGGTGCTTCTAAAGTCACAGACTGGGCACAGTAAAAATGATGGCATAAGGGAAAGAAGCACTATCTTTTCCACTTAATTTTCCAAGAAAGTATGAAGATACCTAAGCAGAGAGGGAACAAATTCCAGTATCAATGTGGCTGACGGGAGACTAATAAAAGAAATGCTATTCCTCCTGATCTGTAAAAGCAAGGCAAGGAGCAGCTTCACTCCCAACAAAGAACAAAGCAAATCAATGCAAATCAATAGGCCACTCCTCACAGGCAGGCACTACAAAACAGCTTCTTTTCTCTCTGAAATTCTACACCATCCCCACCCTCCATATTTTAAAATTCTGTGGTCAATGAAAACTTATCCAGTGTGATACAGCAAAATTCATCTTGATCTTTTTTTTAAAGAATTTTATCAAGTCCATACTAAACTCATCTGAGAGCAGTTAAATGTACTTTGCCTGTTTATTTAGTGAGATAAAAACCAGAATCTTCATCTTATTTTTTATAAAAGGCTAGTCCAATTGGTCTTAAGTATTGTTATGTCATGATATAAATGCCCACATTCATAGGTGAAGTCATAACTACACCTAAGTATGCTTAAGAACAGCATTCTTATTCTTAAGAACAGAATTCTTCTGGAGTTCTAGAATCTTGGTTGAATGGGCATTCAACAGAATACAGGCAATAATCCAAATTTAAAGGTATTTTGGAAACACAATGTCTCCACTTTGACTCTTAGTACTTTCTGGAAATGGAGAAAGCTTACCCCAACCATTTTCAAATCATATTTTCTAATCCTGTAACCTATGACCTGCCAAAATGAGAATTCACTTCCTCTCTCAGTCATACCACATATGATACGGTGCAGACAGACAAGGGAGACAGCAACAGTCAGGAAACAGAAAGTAGTGTATTCCCATTTCCTGTACACTCAAGGGTCATTCAAAACCACATGGAAACCAGCAGGCTGCATCCAGTGGTTCTCAAGGTCAAAAACCTGTACCGCTAACCTGTTGAGTTCA